AAAAAAGTTTGGTGGCAAGAGTGATAACGTTCTGCTTACTACCCAAAGTTTAACAGGCAAGTTCATGTGTTTTCATGATGTTGGACACAATTGTAACCGACAGATATCGGTTTATTTGAGTGTAGGCCTATATAGTACCCTAATTTCTCTGGATATACTGACCTGTCGACGCCAAGGAAACTATTATTGGACATTGGTATGTTTAAGTAATGTGTAGGCATGTGGAATTAAGAAAGTGCTATTTTTGGTCATTTGAAAAGCATAAGAATGTCATCTCTATTTTGAAAGATGAAGCCATGAATAACAATAAGCATTATTATTATACCTTCCGTAAAAATCTGACATTGATGAGAAAAAGGTAGAACATTTTCAAGGTTACCTGCTTGATTTATAAAGATAACGAAGAAGTGTACATGCCATTGTAACATTAAAAGGAATATTTCAAGCACCACAATTATGCAAACAGTCATCTCAGTGATCACATCACATTCACAAATGGGAATTCTCAGGGTTATCATATGCACATTGTCCTTCAATTAATCACAATTTGAGGTTCTTATATACCACTTTATCACAACCTAGTTTGTAGGTCATCTCAAAGCGGTTCGCAAATTATTATCGTAGTTATATATGAATATAGTAGCAAAATGCAAATAAAACTAAACAACTGTTCATATAAGATACTGTATTATTAAATTATACACATTTTAAAATACAATGTACCTACGTCTTGTAGATATATTTACATACAATTTATAATTATAAAAATGTTGCGTTTTCACATTATCTTTGCATATTATACAATAAATAATGATATAAATGGACGGTTTTAGTGAGATACACTGTTTATGTAAAGTACTTTCAGCATTCAATTATTTGTAGGTAGCTCCTGGTATTTGAAAACTTAAGTCAACTTACACCTAATATCCCATTTTGTTTCAGAACAAAATGAAGACTCTCACAAGCCAAGCTTTCCTGCATAACATTCATTTCTTGTGTAACATAAAACTACATCAAGTTCTGGTGACATGGCTGGTGAACATAAAACTACATCAAGTTCTGGTGACATGGCTGGTGCACCCTCCGACAATTACTGCTTACTTTCACATGAAAATGAAAGGTGCAAAAAGCATAATTTCCCTTTTTTGTGTTTGTACTAAAGACATGTCTGACAAACACGTGTTTGCATTAGCACAACTATCAAAACATCGACTAACCATACATACTGATGTCGTACGTAACTGTAATGATGAATGGATATGTGTTCACATGCATAGCAACAAGTTATTATTTACACACTTTCCACATTTTTCTTTATAAAAAACAAACATATCTTAACTGTCGTATGATCATGAATGAAACAGGCTAGTTATTCAATTTCGGAATAAAAATACTGTGGAAGAATTTTTCTAAATTTGATGTCCTAATGAACACTTCACACCAGGATTTGGAATGTAATAATTCATCATTTTACACAAACATATGATTCTTGCCAGGTTCTAAAAGCAGCACTTGGGATTTCTTCATGACAATTAGAATGTCTCAACTATAGAATTACTAAACAGTTAACGGTGATACTATGCCTCTGTCTGCCCTTTAGCCATGCCTACATTATCTGGCACGACTGTTGTAGAGACCTCTGATGGAATGACATCATAACCTAATTTCTTCATATCCTTTGAAACGACATTAAAAGACACTGTCACGAAACCCTGAGACCGCACTCGTGTAACTAGAAAAAGAAATAAACATTACAATCGATTATGAGAGAATTTCCAAAATACCAATATCATTCAATGAAAATACTTTTTCAAAACATAATCTAACCTCAGTGACTTATATGTAAAGAGAAGAGTATATTAGCAAGTTTATTAAGGTGTCACTCAGAATGAAATTAGACAAAAAATCCCTTTTTCCATTTCGAAGTAAAATTTAGTATAAAATTTCACTATTTCTGAGAGAACAAAGTTGAGAAAGTTTTAAAAATCTGTTCAAATTACCTTCTCTTCCCTCTCCCTGAGCCACAACCTTGGGGTCAACAAATTCTGGCCGCCTCCCCAGAAACCATGCTGTGAATTTTTGAAGTGCTGATGCTGATTCAGGAACAAACATGGGTACTTTCCGCTTGTGTCTGATGAAGCAGTAATTTCACAATGAATATATGATAAACTATAATCAAATATAAAACAAACTTCCCAGGTAGGCAGGAACTATATCAAATGTTTCCAAAATCATTTTGAAAAAATATCCTCGATAAATAGAATAATGTAAAGTTAACGAGGAACACAGAAATTATTCAGTACACACAATGCTTTTCAGTTTATCTTTATCAAATCTACAGATAAACTAAATTTTGATTGAAAAATAATTTTCAAGGGTATCAAATGAAGTTTTATCAATTACATCTCTTTTGCTTCAATGCATCCTACCTTCCTGGTGTGATTGGGACATGGCACATTCCGTAACCTCTCACAACATCCTGTCCGAATACGTCAATTCCATAGCAATGGATGACCAGCTGTGGCCCTGAGATACACAATAACAATCTTACAACAGATATAGCAAAGGATGACCATCTGTGGCCTTGAGATACACAATAACAATATTACAACCGATATAGCAAAGGATGACCAGCTGTGGCCCTCACAACATCCTGTCCGAATACGTCAATTCCATAGCAATGGATGACCAGCTGTGGCCCTGAGAGACACAATAACAATATTACAACAGATACAGCAAAAGATGACCAGCTGTGGCCCTGAGATACATAAAATAACACTATTACAACAGATATAGCAAAGGATGACTAGCTGTGGCCTTGAGATACACAATAACAATATTACAACCGATATAGCAAAAGATGACCAGCTGTGGCCCTGAGATACATAAAATAACACTATTACAACAGATATAGCAAAGGATGACCAGCTGTGTCCCTGAGATACATACAATAACACTATTACAACAGATATAGCAAAGGATGACCAGCTGTGGCCTTGAGATACACAATAACAATATTACAACAGATATAGCAAAAGATGACCAGCTGTGGCCCTGAGATACATACAATAACACTATTACAACAGATATAGTAAAGGATGACCAGCTGTGGCCCTGAGATACATACAGTTGTGGGATCGCACAACGCACCAAAAATAGCGTGCGCACACCGTGCATACATCGTTCACACACCGTCCACACATCGTCCACACATGGTGCGCACAACTGTGCGATTTAGCAATCGTTCGCCCCGTTGTGCGCTTCTCTCCGCACAACTGTGCGATTTGGTATCATTTGTAGATCAAAATTACGGAATGACAAAAATACGGAAGGCTTATATGCGATAATGTACACTGCATATATATCTGTAATTTCTCATCACAATATGCGTGTTACACAGTATTACAGCGACCGTTAGGCTGTCAAGAATGGGTTTGGCTCCAAGGTAACAGAACGGGTAAATAACAATTTGATGAGTGTCCGGAGTTTTACCTGACCAGTGCCTGACACACAGAGCTGATATGCGATATCGTTTGACCGTAATGAATAGTATTTGTTATTTGCATTCGTTTGCCTATAGCTCCCCTTCACCTGGATTTTCACCCCCCCGGCCTTACCCGACGAGTTACGTAAGTGCCCCAGGCTGGGAGAATACTACGGTCCAGGTACATGTATAAAGTGGTTATGTTTACCTGTATACGGGATTGTGTTGTAATTTTACATGTGTTGATTAAGTTTGTTTGAAAACACAGAAAACACAATTTCTAAATATAAGAATGCATAGACAAAAAGATAAGTTTGTAGATGTTGCTAGAATATAGAAACATATGTAAACATCAAGTTTATATGTTTAAACATGAAACCGTATACATTGTTAAGGCATTCCTCAATTTAAACCAACCACGATTATTATCGCACAACGTCCGTCCATCGTGCGCACAGATGTGCGCAAGCAATGATCATCCAGCTTTTTATCGTTCGCCCATCGTGCACACACCGTTCACACACCGTGCACACATCGTGCACACACCGCACATCGTGTAATGTTGTGCGATCCCACAACTGTACAATAAAACTATTACAACAGATATAGCAAAGGATGACCAGCTGTGGCCCTGAAATACACAATAACAATATTACAACAGATATAGCAAAGGATGCCAGCTGTGGCCCTGAGATACACAAAAAAAATATTACAACAGATATAGCAAAGGATGACAGCTGTGGCCCTGAGATACACAATAACACTATTACAACAGATATAGCAAAGGATGACCAGTTGTGGCCCTGAGATACATACAATAACACTATTCCAACAGATATAGCATAGGATGACCAGCTGTGGCCCTGAGATACATGCAATAACAATATTACAACAGATATAGCAAAGGATGAGCAGCTGTGGCCCTGAGATACATACAATAACTATATTACAACAGATATAGCAAAGGATGACCAGCGGTGGCCCTGAGATACATCCAATAACACTATTACAACAGATATAGCAAATGATGACCAGCTGTGTCCCTGAGATACATACAATAACACTTACAACAGATATAGCAAAGGATGACCAGTTGTGGCCCTGAGATACATACAATAACACTATTCCAACAGATATAGCATAGGATGACCAGCTGTGGCCCTGAGATACACAATAAGAATATTACAACAGATATAGCAAAGGATGCCAGCTGTGGCCCTGAGATACACAATAACACTATTACAACAGATATAGCAAAGGATGACAGCTATGGCCCTGAGATACATACAATAACACTATTACAACAGGTATAGCAAAGGATGACAGCTATGGCCCTGAGATACATACAATAACACTATTACAACAGAGATAGCAAAGGATGAGCAGCTGTGGCCCTGAGATACATACAATAACTATATTACAACAGATATAGCAAAGGATGACAGCTGTGGCCCTGAGATACACAATAACACTATTACAACAGATATAGCAAAGGATGACCAGTTGTGGCCCTGAGATACATACAATAACACTTACAACAGATATAGCAAAGGATGACCCGCTATGGCCCTGAGATACATACAATAACACTATTACAACAGATATAGCAAAGGATGACAGCTATGGCCCTGAGATACATACAATAACACATTATAATAGGTAGCAATAGAAGTCAAGCTGTCGATTTGAGAGATACATTACACTTTACGATAAGTATAGGGAAGGATGACCTGCTGTGACTCTTAAATAAACATTTATATTATTACAGCATATATAAAACATGTATGATGACTTTGAAACACAATGTAGGGAGATTTGTGTTTTGAAGTAGGGAGATATTTTGGTGAATCACTAGTACTGTGTTACGTCATTTCACGAATAATTTTTAACTTCTAACATATTTTTTAGGGCAAAGAACACCATGTATGTTTTCATATCCACTATTAATCAATCAAAATCTCAGAAACACAATGGTGTTTTGTAAGAATTCAAGACATAAGAGAGATATCAGCAACTGCAATACCTATATTATTATCTAACAAATATGGCCGTTTTTTTTTCTAATAATCACATAAGTAGAAAAATTGAAAATATTTTCGTTTATGACAATCAGTTTAAATGTAACAAAGTTTTCATGGTGACATGATAAATGAAGATTGCAAAATACTACTTAGCAGGCTGTTTATATAATTATAAATAATACAAATACCATAGTATTTCAAAGCATTTAATAGTCAATAAAACATTCTTGCTATTATGGCAATATGCTGATAACTAAAATAAGATTCATCAGTTTGGAAATGTGTCATATCAAAGTTTTATTTTACACTTAAACTAGCCCAAGTTTCCTCTGGCCTTGAGACCAGACTTAGACATTTTGGCAGATAGATGTCTGGTGTGGGGCCAGAGCACACTTCTATATGAAAATGCGGAATTCTCTGCCATTGTTTGGTTTCGGACAGTTATGAGGTCCTGACAACAAAAATCGACAATGACACAACACACACCTCACATACATTGAAAAATTGATTATTTATCAATCCAAATCCATTCTGACTATCACCAACAGCAGCTGAATGACGTCAGTTGAGTCCTCGGTTTCCAATAGTTCAAAATTTACCGCTTACGCGAATGCCATTTTTGTGTAGGTCAAGGGAGTGACTAATCAACAAGCCGTACTGATCAAGACCGAAAACGGAATATATCATTCTCGTTTAAAAGATTTCCGGACCGCCTCATTTTGTTGATTAGTCGATCCCCTGACCTACAAAAATGGCTTTCGCTCAGGTGGGAAATTTTGTGTTGTGTCATCGTCAATTTTTTTGTCAGCACCTCAAAACTCTCCGACACCAAATGGTGTCGGAGAATTCCACGTTTTCATATATCAGTGTGCTCTGGCCCCACACCAGACATTTATCTGTCAAAATGTCTAAGTCTGGTGTCAGGGCCAGAGGAAACTCGGGCTACATTTAAACAAACGTTTTAAGTTTAATATGTACATTGTTTGTGTACAAAATTAAACTTTGATATTTTATGCTGATGCTTTCAATCAAAGTTTCATTTAAATTATATGCCAAATATTATCATGATTCAGTCACATGACTTGGGGATAATCCCCATGTCACATGATTGAATCACCAGATTAGTCTGAAGCCCACTACTGATCTCAGTAAGGGCTGAAGAAAACAACCAGGAGGTCACCGAAAGCTACCCGTGAGATGTATTTAGTTGAGAGACATAGTTAAATGTTGGTTTAATAAAGTATTATCAGTTGGAGGTATTGTTATGTCACTAAGACAGCTGACAAGACAAAATTTTGAGGTCATTTGACCAAATAGAATCTCATGAAAGGTCATGATTGATCATGTGACTGCTGTTATTTTGGCTAATGAATGGCAATCTTAATGAATGATTTGAATTCTTTTTTTGAGCAGCTAAAAGACAGTAACTCAATCTTTTGATCCCAATTTTTATCAAATTTGTTCTTAGCTACATGATAAAAACTTGACATGGTGTGGCAGAAGACAGAAAACATCCTTCTATGGATATTACAGGAACAATTCCGATTATTTTCTAACTTACATCCATGTGGATTGGTGCTCTTGAAGGTGATATCTAGGGGAAAGTTCCATACAAACTCTTGCCTGTCGTCTTTACTTTTCTTAGTTATTTGTGTGATGCCTTCTTCCAAACCCTGTGAAGATATATTGATTCATTGAACAATGATGAAGATCTTTTGATGAGCTTGCATCAAATTCTCTCATTGTGATTTAACAGATAGACAAAGCTTTCAACTGTAAACAACAAATTATTTACAATTACATCTAGATCTGAACTTATAAAAAATCTATTAGTATATATTTTCTGTTTTTCCAAACCTGAACCCCAGAACAGTTTTTGTTGTCGTAATCAATCCCTATAAAAGAAGTACTATCAAACGTTCCTTCCCATCAAGCAGGTGTATACTAGTGATTACCAGTTTCATATTATTCTGACATCAAAACTAAAACATCAGTGTATCCAATAATAAATCTTTACTACTTTTTTTCTATTTGCTCATTATGACATACAAATTGATAACTGGTTGAAACATATAGACGCATATACTACTTCACTGGCTTTATATGTCTCTGGTTGAAATACACAATTACCTGCAAATTTTGCATCGACTTACCGAAGTTATCAACCAATCTGATCCATATGTAAAGCAGTATTTACAATAAATATCATCAAACTCTGGAAACTGCAATAGCAAAATGATTTTAATCAGTAAGGTTCCAATTAATCGTTGAATAATATCCACATATACTACTATCAAGTTAGATAAGATGAGACTCACTTATTTTAGCCGATGAAAAGTCGTAATAGTTCTTAATTTATGACATGTAAATATTAATAAATAAACCACCAATGGAACTTGACATGTGCGTGCTTGTTTACCTTTTATCACCAAATATTTATGGCCGATTAGAACATGATACAATCACATGTATACCCATACATTATCCTTATTGTAAGAAATATCATAAATCCGGAAGAATATATAAAGTTAAGTACAGTCATGCAATACTCACCTCTGCCGATTCAATTTGTCCACCTGCCATAAGCAGAAATACCGTCTGTGCCATTTTTGTTATTTTTACTTGATGCGCCACCTGGTGTTCTGTAATGTAAGGGAGCATTCCTATTTACGGTTGTGCAAATATACTATTAGAAAAGTACAATTTGTTGACATGTTTGATGTATTTAAGGTTAAATTAATCACTAAAATAAAGTAAAACACATGTTATGTAGAAAAGAGTTTTCATTCGACAAAAATGCATTGTACAATTAATGAAACCTCAAAACACGGAGACGGAACGGTCGGGAGTCATACGGATCGGGCACGATTTACCCAAAAAGACTGCAAAGCACTTATCAAATACAAAATAAACATAGGCTACCTATGTCAAATAATGTGGAAAGGGTGAGAAAAATACCAGTTACCGATAAAACTTCTGTGAATAGGCAAACGATAAACTTGTTGAAGGGGAAGTAACTCAAATTCAATTAACCTGAAACATCATTATGCTACATAATGTCTGGAAGCAGAAATATGATTATCTATATATATATATATATTTTGTGTGTGTTTTTGGGGTGTCTTTTCGGTCTTTTGGGGTATTTTTGGGTCTTTTGGGTAAATCGTGCTGCCGCTAATATAATTAGTAATGTTGAACAATCTTGAAATCGTAATAAGTAACGAATCGGTAACAAACATGGCTTTCAAAAATCCGATTGGGGCGCGGGACTCACCACTGGCGATCAACTTTGTCTATATTAGGAGAAGAGAAATGCAACGGCAAGCGACCGGGATTCCGTCCGAACTTTCCGACGCTCTACCATTTGAGCTACTTGGTCGCCGACGACCGACCCAGTCCAGTTCCGCTACACAGGAAAAAATGCAGTCATTATAGCATTATATACTACCAGAGACGTACACTGGCTGTATCAGTTACGTCTCTGCGTCAGTCCAGATACCTGGGCCCGTATTCATGAAACAGTTCTCATGCTCAAGCATGTTCTTGTAACTCACTTAAATCATGTCAAACGATCAAAATGTCAAATGTAAACATTGAAAACAGTATTCAGGTTCAAGTTTATTCAACATTTTTCCAAATCTTTGGCAAAATAAGATTTATTTATGAATTTATAACCAGAACAAGAAATTGAGCTTGAGCACAAAATCCATGCTTGAGCATGAAGAACGGTTTCATGAATACGGGCCCTGGTAAAATAGTCCAACACTCGGACGGTAGATTTTGTACGTATTAGGTGGTCATCATCAACACATTGACCAAGAAGGCTACATACTTTGTCATTAAAACTATTTCACTATTTTCATTTTCATTTGATTACAATTATTCCAATATCCCTATAAACATATTTATGGTGACAATGGTCTCCTTGACGACAACTTCGGTTTAGGTAACGTTCATTCTCACTTATCATGCGCATACATATACAGTAAAAGTGAAAAATAACTTTGCGAACATTTTGTTATCTTTTCTCAAAAGAGTAGCATATGTGTAGGATAATAAACCGAATGGGTTCTGTTTACTATTCACCAGTTTTGAAAACAGAAGTGTCCATTCCCAACAGGTCATTGTCAGTAAAACAGATACGTGATCCAGTACTTCTTCAAAACAAAATGTTTTTCTTCTTCAAATTTACCATATTCGCGAATCCAAGATAGACTGTCATAAAAACAGACATTTTTGCAACAAATGCTAACACGTTTTTCCGATCGTATATGAAAATAGGAATTTGGTATCGAACGAAAAAAAATCAAAACCAATGCATTCAAAAACAATATTTATTTCATTCTTTGAACTTCAAACTTTTGAACACTTTTCACGGGTTTTGTTTTAGAAAAGTATTTTTTCATCGACTAATGCATATCTACAGTACAAAACATTCGTTCTTCAGCAACACAACAAAGATACTACCTCGCCTGTATCTCTTTACAGTTGAGTATCAAATTGTGACGTATGTGTAATCTTGTGAGCCAGATATACAAATGAAATTTTACAGCATCTTCAATCGAAATGGTATGTTAATTTTACTTATTTTGATAAACTACTATTAATTTGATCTATATTTAAGAAGAAAAAAAAATCATTATGGTATGTTGCATTAAAACAAGGATATAATGGTTTTGTTCTTGTAAGGTTTCTATTCACACAATTTGAACAAGTATTTTTATAACAAACTTTTACATTGAAAACAACTTCACAAAAAATCCAGACGTAATTAAACATCAAGGCGGCTTTAACTTATACTGCAAAAAGTTTGTCCGCTAGCGTACATGTCCCTTTTTTCAATCGTTACTCCCATTCAAAATTTAAAAAAGATACGTTACTATTCCAACAGATACGTTACACATTATATTGGTCAAGTGTTACACTCATGCTACTTAATATTATCAATAAAACAAACTTTAAATCGATGTAATGATCACTTGTGATCAAATATATGCACCTATCCCAAATGCTCGGATAACCAAGTCGTTTTTATTTGGAAAAATAATGCACCAAAACAGAAACGTGACCAAAGTGAAAATGTGATCCCTTATCCTCACATATCCCACCCTTTTCTTTCTTAGCTTTTCACTAATTTATCCTTTAAAATCCATTTATAGTGGTTAAATTTATTTGAACATCTACAATAACGTACACAAATTAACCAGTAGTATACATGTATAGGCCGTATTATATATGTATAGGCCGTATTATACATGTATAGGCCGTATTATATATGTATAGGCCGTATTATACATGTATAGGCCGTATTATATATGTATAGGCCGTATTATACATGTATAGGCCGTATTATATATGTATAGGCCGTATTATACATGTATAGGCCGTATTATATATGTATAGGCCGTATTATACATGTATAGGCCGTATTATATATGTATAGGCCGTATTATACATGTATAGGCCGTATTATATATGTATAGGCCGTATTATACATGTATAGGCCGTATTATATATGTATAGGCCGTATTATACATGTATAGGCCGTATTATATATGTATAGGCCGTATTATACATGTATAGGCCGTATTATATATGTATAGGCCGTATTATACATGTATAGGCCGTATTATATATGTATAGGCCGTATTATATATGTATATGTATAGGCCGTTTTATATATGTATAGGCCGTATTATATATGTATAGGCCGTATTATATATGTATAGGCCGTATTATATATGTATAGGCCGTATTATATATGTATAGGCCGTATTATATATGTATAGGCCGTATTATATATGTATAGGCCGTATTATATATGTATAGGCCGTATTATATATGTATAGGCCGTATTATATATGTATAGGCCGTATTATATATGTATACATGTCTTTGGATTTCCTAGGATTTAAAGATATTCCCCTTGAAAACTAAGCCAGCTGATGCAGTACAGTTTGTAAAATGTCTAATAACATTGTTTCAGTCAAAATCTCACGAAACAAAACTAGAATCTAGAGTATCTTTGTTAGAAGCTTCGATTATAGAACCATTTACAACGTATCTGTTTATAACGCATCTGTTTATAACGCATCTGTTTATAACGTTTGTGTTTATAACGCATCTGTTCTATCTGTTTATAACGCATGTGTTATATCTGTTTATAAAGTATCTGATATATCTGTTTATAACGTATCTGTATATAACGTTTCTGTTATATCTGTTTATAACGTATCTGTTATATCTGTTTATAACGTATCTGATATATCTGTTTATAACGTATCTGTTTATAACGCATCTGTTTATAACGCATCTGTATATAACGTATCTGTTTATAACGCATCTGTTTATAACGTTTCTGTTTATAACGTTTCTGTTATATCTGTTTATAACGTATCTGTTATATCTGTTTATAACGCATCTGTTTATAACGTATCTGTTTATAACGCATCTGTTTATAATGTATCGGTTTATAACGTATCTGTTATATCTGTTTATAACGTATCTGATATATCTGTTTATAACGCATCTGTTATATCTGTTTATAACCCATCTGTTTATAACGTATCTGTTATATCTGTTTATAACGCATCTGTTTATAACGTATCTGTTATATCTGTTTATAACGTTTCTGTTTCTGAAAAAGGGAAGAGGGGTTTATGACAAAACTTCTCAAAGATCTACAGCTTCCATCACAAAGCATCAAGACGAAATGAACAGAGATTAACATTCTATTAGAAAATCGCGGAGGAGCATATTCCATCAATGCCTAGCAAAATACTTTATTAATTTCTGGCAGCGGAAGTCCCAGGAGTGCTAGACATCAAGACCAATTCCAAATACGATCAGGAACAATAATAGAGCAGTCATAATACCCCACAGCAACACAGATCAATACAGAAACTCATTCTTTGGGCGAACAGTCACAGATTCGAATCAGGTTGTCTTGACAACTCCTACTGTAGTGTTCAGCCGAATTTCATGTACTTGCACAGTTTCCTTTGATTACCTCAGTCATGAACAAATCATTGACGGAGTCAAAAGTTCCATGATGTTTCAAGACGACACATGTAAGATCACTGTTGAAGAAGCCTGGTATGGACAAGCTGGAGCAGTTGGAGAAATATCGCCCAGTATCAAATCTACCTTTCCTGCCTAAGATCTTGGAGAAGGTTATGTCCGGACGTTTGGAAGTTCATCTCCATGCAAACAGTCTCCACGACAACCTGCAATCGGCATACCACATGTGACACTCTACTGAGACGGCGCTCCTACGTGTATATAGTGGCATAGCTGCCTCCTTTGATAACAAGTACAGAGCGGTGCTAGTCATGCTGCATTTGACGTCATCGACCATGGCATACTTTACAAACGTCTATCTTAACTCTGATATGGAGTGACTGGTGACGCATTATGTTGGATGCAGTCTTATTTGAGTGAACGACGACAGTATGTTGCCATAAGATCTACCACCTCACTTGACAAAATACTAGATTTTGGGGTTCCTCATCGATCAGAGAGATTTGTCGTCGCCATAGTTTTCATTTTGCTGAAGACACACAGATTTGCATGGTCATCAAAGCATAGCACAGTTGGGATACCATATCAGAAAATCTGGATGGTTGTCCGACAGACATCAGTACCTGGATGAACACCAACATGCTATAGCTTAATCAGGAAAATATGGAACTAATCGTCTTTTCCCCAAAATGTCAGCAAACAATGACTCTCAAACTCGAGGTCGGTGCCAGAACTATTGAGACTGTCATCTACTATCAGGAAGTCAAAAACCCTAGCCAAATTCAAGAAGGAAGAGACACCTCTTCACGTCTGCATTTTAGGCTCTTTGCACAGACGTTATGTTCACACTACCCTTTATATCTTCATTGTGACAATCTGAGGTTGAAAACCTGTGATAAATATTTCGATCCGGCCATTTTTATTGGAGTTATGCCCATTTCTACAGAAGTTTGCTAACACTATCCCTTGTCTGCACATCTTTCCTTAGTATAAAGTACTGCCTAAATGTGAACATCCGCGACAGTCAAGAGGTTTCGTTCATCTACATCTACGCTCTGAGCGAACTTGGGTATGAAGGATGCAGTTAGAGTAACCCTTGGTACACACAAACCTTATGATACCGAGGGGTGTCAATGAAGTATGTAAATTGGTGTTACCTCCCTTAATTATGGAAGTAAAAAAAGCATCTGTGTTTAAAAAAAGTTGTTTACACTACTGTAAAAGGTTAGCATTGATCAGGTTGTCTTTACAAGCGTCATCTGTAGGGAATTTCCCTTTAGCTCAGCGGTAGAGCATAGGACTGGAGAGCCAAGGGTCGCGGGTTTGACACTATCGATCTTTATCATTATTCCTCGTCCTACTACACTACTCCTCCCAAAGTACTTCACCGGTTTGACCAATACTTGGAACACGTAAAATTTGCATTGAGTGCATGCGTACTTGTGTATATAAGTTGGAGTTATATAGCACTTTTGTTTTTGGTGTAGTGATATCGATTCGCATCAAAGCTTTTACAATATTTTTTATATATTTTGTTTGTTTCGTATTTTTTTAATAAACGTTTCGCCAGATATGTAGTTCTTTTTAGAAATGATTATTAAACTAATGTCACGGCAGAGGATAGAAAAAAATAAAGAACGATGTTTATATTCAACGTTCCAGATACAGGGATCTATAGAAAATTATTCCGCGCTCCGTTTTATTTTTAAGTTTTGGTCATTATAAGGGGAGACTACTCTAACAAATTACTAGCATAATCCACGACAGGAAGCTCAACAGCTACCGAAAAAGGTGAGGATTGGCAAGAATAAGTCTTTGAAGACGTTTCTGTATATAGTTAAATGGATGATAAATGATATGTTACTGGACGGGGTGTGAGTATATATACACGTGAAAAGGACTGAGATATAAACATGCTTGTTACATAGTAACCGTCAGACTGTCACGGGTCATGATCCGCAGTCGTGAGAGATCTTGATAGGTATACGGTGACACATCCAAGGATATTATTACACCGCGCGTGCGTCAAGTACTTTACTTAAGTGGGACCCCCTTACGATCAGATGGTAAGTTGGCTTGACCGTGTATGCCTTTGCAGAAGAGGATAAGTTTTGAGTTCGGCGATCTTTTAGGGATGGAAGTTGCAGCTGGTCTAAAATTGCTGTCAAACTACCTGGGTCGTAGTTGTAGTTTGATGTTATGAACCTTGCCGCTCTATTTTGTACAGTTTCCAGCTGATCTTGAAGATATATTTGGTGTGGGTCCCAGGCAGTGCTCGCATATTCAAGGACAGGTCGTATGAGTCCTTTGTATGCCTGGAAGTTTAACTTCAAGTGGACATGATTGAAGATTTCTTTTCAATAATCCTAATGTCCTGTAAGATTTGTTGCATATCTCATCTATGTGTTTTCCCCAGTGTAGGTCATATTGTTAAATAGTGGGAATCCAGAGATGGGAGGAAGCGAGTGTGTTTTACAAATTTGTCAGTTTACAAAAATAACACAACAGCTTAGGCAGGTAATTTCCAAAAAATGGAAAATGGAATAAAACATATTTTGTATGATTTTATGCTAATATGCATACAGTACTCATTTTAGCACAATTAAGATATTGCGAAATAAATGGGAATTGTGCAATTAACATTATAAACACCAATTACTGCAAAACCACAGGAATGTGCATATTTGGAATTTAACCGAATTTGACTGGAAGCATCCCTGGTTGGTGGGGATCCAAAATTGGATAAGTGATCATGAGGGACCCCAGTCTTAGAGCTAAGGGATGGGGCCAGAAAAAGTTTTTTTTTAAGATTTGGCCATACTGCTGTAAGCAACTTCATTTCTAGAAATAATCAAAAGATATCAACCATATTCGGTTGAAAGCATTTTCAGGTGGAGGGGATTCAAAATTGTATAAATGGAGGGGAGCAGGGCCAAAAAGGGATATTTGGCTATATTGCTTTAAGTGACTTTTTCTCTGAAACTAAGGGTTAGAAATCAACCATATCAGGTGGTGGGTATTCAAAATTGTACAATTCTGGAGGGGAACATAACCATGCTAACATAATTAGCTGTGTGGTCTGTTCCTACTCTTAGGGATTTGTCCCTGGGTCACAGAAAAAACCCGTCTGAGAATTCAGATTCCCACTATTTAACAATATATGCAATTGCTGAACAAGAAGATTTGGAGACAGCATCATCCCCATGGATCCCGAAAAATGTAGAAAACAACACAATCTTTCATTATAAATAAATAGAGAAAGACACTCCTGGGTATGATAGGCCACATATGGGAATATTTAAGTAGTGATACATGTATTTTGCACAATAACTGGTACTTTTTCCTGATATCAAAACGATTAAAAACCATCACTACAGTACAAGTTAGTACATATCAAAAGAGACCTATTCACCAACTCAAAAAACAGTCATACCGGACACAACTTTCGACAACATATAAATGTTCATAGCAAAAAGAAGACTGATTTGTATATTTATTACAATTTCTTACTATTTTATATAAGTACTTTTGAATGATAGAATCAGACATGTTTCCAATAATGTCTTATGAAATCCTATTCATTTATTTAGAATCTGTTTTATCTCTAATGGCCCAAAAGTGAGATGTTATGCTTCTTATTTATTTTTTCAGATTTTTTCATCTAATTCTATTCCATTGATATGAGCTACCCTTACCAAGGAGGTGGTAACCCTGGTTACCCAGGTGGTGGTGGATATGCTCCCCCACCAATGGCTGGAGGCTTTCCTCAGCAGGGGGGAATGCCACAACCAGGTGGGATGCCACAACCAGGAGGAATGCCACAGCCTGGTGGCTACCCACAACCAGGTGGTGGATACCCTCAGCAAGGAGGAGGAGGTTTCCAGCAACCACAGGGCTTTGGAGGTGGTGTAAGTTCAATTGTCACATGTGATGTTTTAGGAACTGAAGCAGTGTTCACATCACATGAAGCAATCTCTTTACTTGCCTGTCATGCACATTTACAAGTGGCCAGATCTATCTTAACAAACACCTATATAAAGGCTTACCTTTCGAACAAGCACACTTAATCCTTTATACTTGATTTGTATAATTGAGCTGATTAAGAGATGTTCAGAGACCTTCCATGGATTCAGCTTCCCCTAACCTATCAAACTGTCCATCAAATAATTGAAGGAGATGAATTTAAGTTTGTTATGATCTTGGAACACTTGAGAAAGCTTTCAAAAAAAGTCGATATGATGCATGTCAGAATATGCATATACCTGGTAATTTGATAAATTATTAAGATTGAAATTTGGTACAAAATGTGTAATATTTTGCTTTGAATAGCATGTTGGAAACTGTTTGCTTCTTAATATGTATATGGTTGCTGTGTAATTTTAAATCTTTATTACTATGTGACTGCGAAGATTAGGTAGGTAAATGCTTCATGTTTAAAACAAAATTGGTTCAATTTCAGATGGGCATGCCAACCCCTGAGTCAGCATCAGCAGCTGCATATGGGCAGTCTGGGGCCCCAGGGGGAATGCCTGGCTACCCTGCTCAACCCCAGCCAGGGGGCTTAGGCTTTGGAGTAAGTTGAAGAGTGAATCATGTAGCAGATTAGTGAGAGAAAACTCTTTAAAAAGTGAACCTGCTACCTGTTTACAATGGCCTGTCTGTGTGCTAAATATGATAAAAAAAACACCTGAGCAAGTTGCATCACTTGACAAATGGGCTAACTTGGAGACTTTAGCTCGAAATTAAAATGGGTGTTGTTGCCAATAGTACGCAACATGGTGAAATTTAGTTACCCATGATGCATATTGTTGATATGTTATGTGCAGGTGATGCTACACATGCCCAGAGTGGGTTGTTATTAAAAGTTTTGGGAAAAGACCTGGGAAATTATGATTGAACAGTAATTGCATGGTAATATTGTAAGTGTTTGAAAAACAATATGTCAATGATTTATTTAAAATACACATTTATAGAAAATAGGAAGTATCAAATAAATACATTAGATAATAGAGAAGATTGATATCTCTTTAAAATGTAAATCATGGATGATCTGGATGAGAGTCTTTGTTTTTGCAGGAAGTGTCTTGTTATGACAATATACATATGCAATAAGAATTCTGCTGTAATAATTGTATTACAGGGAGGATCTGCGCCTCCATCAGGACCAGGGTATGGAGGAGCTCCTGGTTATGGGGCCCCCCCAGCAGGATACGGGGGAGCACCCCCTCCTCAGCCAGCCATGCCGGCTTATGGTCAGCCTCCCCAGCAACCATATCAGGTACCAGTGAAATATTAGGAATTATTCATTTAATAAATAAAAGCTTATATCATCACTGCAGTGAAAATACATGACAAACACTTTTATTATTGTCCAATCAGAACAGTTCCTTTCTATTCACTACATAAGTTTTTAGTTTCAAGTTCAGATTAAGCATCGGCTGAATAAGTGGATGTTTTGGTACACCTTTGCAACATACAGCGTGGTATATAGTTGCACAATCGATATCATGTTTATTCTGAAAATTTTAGCAGGTAATAGCAGCAAACAGCAAAATTGCATTGAAAAACCTATTCATAAAATGGCGCTCTGCCTTGTTGTCAAGTATGATGTCATTAGAACTTGTCTACTGAATCTAAATATGAGACCTGTCAATCAAACTGACATGGTAAAATTGTGTGTCTCTTTCTCTGTTTTGATGTCAGATATAGGCCTTCCCAGCAATGAATCAATGATAGCATGAATTTTAAATCAGAGAAAATTTCTTTATACATTTGAGAATATTTTCCACAAAATCAGAATGTTAACAGAAGTACACCAGCCATAGACTGACAGTTACAAGCTACTGAATTTAGTTCTCTCAGATCATATAACCTTGAATATCCTGAGCAACTCAAGGTGATGAGTTGAATGCCATTGTAACAATGTCATACTTTCATTAATGTTAGAATCCAGATTTGATTCCTGTATAGTAAAACAAGCTGTATGTTAACATCAGATGGACATTACAGATATTCATACAATAAAAACACAACACAAAGCTATTCAAGATTTAAAAAAAATCCAATTCAACTGTTAGGAATGCTTGTTAGATGTAGCCATCATGATGTTTCCTGGTGACTATCAGTTTCGGTCCTCGTATATAAAGAAGCACCAACATTTCACTTTGTGATTTGGTTGGAAATAAACATGAATCTCTCATGATATAAAAAGTTTAAAAGATTTAAATTTGCACTGTCAGTTTTAGATAACTTAACAACATAATGAACACTGGACGTTTGTATCAATGTGAAACAAAGAAAGTATGTACAAATGTTTCCTCCATATACATTGGGTAATGATTAATACAGTATTTACTAGTTATATCACCTATAACTGACACTCTGTTATCTGATCCAGTCCAGTGCCCCAGCCCCAGCATACGGTTCAAGTCCAGGTTACCAACCCCCACAGCAACAGGGGTATGGCCAGCCCCAACAACAGGGGTACAACCAACCCCAGCAACAGGCGTACAACCAGCCCCCCGCTAACCCAGCCTATGCAGGATCAGCGCCAGGAGGGTATGGAGCTTCCGCTTCCACAGCTCCACCTGGTGGCCATTCATACGGTTCTCCTGCCTCCAACATGGGAGGAGGAATCGCTGGAGCAGGTGCATTTAAACAAAAGGTAAGCCAAATTTTACTTGTGAATATAAATTAACAATATGGATTTATGCACGAATGACCATATAGCTCACACTGCAGACACACATATGCCTTGTTGTTGTAAAGTTCAATACCGGTTCATTGTTCAATAGCTTAAAAAACAATGGATGAAAAGATGTCCATTATAAATATGAAGGGGTACTTTGCTATCTTCTTTACATGTGCTGCCCAAAAAACTTGGTCAAAAAACTTTATTTTGTTGCACCCTAATACGGGCACCATGGCAGCATTGATACAAAGTTATTTTGAATATGAACTTAAATTTTATGGGAATCATTTGTGCATGATCCTAAACTTTGTGGGAATCATTAGTGCATGATCCTGACCAATTCTTTTTGGTTTGTGGCCTACTTTTAGAGCCAGTATGGTCCCCAAACCATCATTTTGAAGCAGTATTTTGAGTTTATACTCCAATTCTACTGAAGTTTATTTTACTGAATGGGATTGATCATCACATGGTCCTGACCAAATTTTGTTATGGCGACCATGGCAGCATTGATGAAAGCCTGTTTTGAGTAAATAATATCTGTGAGTCCCCTATCACTTTGTTTTTAATCTAGCGTGAAATCATAACAATAAATTAATGATGTCTCATGACCAAAATAAAACAATCTAAATGAGGCATTATTATAACTCACAATGAAACTAGGGGTATACCTAGTACTAAAGTCAGGTTGTCTGTCTGTATGTCTTCCTATTCATATACTAAGTCATGTCCTACTCCTAACGTATTGCCCAAATTTAAACTTTGCATACATGACTGCCATATTATTTCCATAATAATGTGTTATGATCCCTGATTTACTTAAATTAAACTAACAAAGTGTTATTCGGTATAGGTATAGTATAGTGATAAAAATTTGGTCAAAATCAACCAGCTCATTTTAAAATGTAATATCTTCTAAACACTGAAAGGGTGTCTCCATGTATTTTGGAGAAAAAAATGATTAAATATAAATTTGAAATAATAGTGAAATAATCCTACATCTGTGCTAAATAGTATTTAACCATTCCTTTACCTGGTATTTTCTGATTTTGCTTTCAAAGTACAAACTTTATGTAGTCATTCAAAGAACTAAAAAAGAAAGGATCTCACGAAAGTACATACATGTATGTTTTAGCACTTGTTAAGCACAGATAAACTTTTTTTTTCTAAAAAGTCAAATGTCCTCAAATTGATATATTAAGAAAAAAAAAGGAAAACTGAAAATGTAAGAAAATCTAAACTTGAAATTCAAAATAAAAGTTCAAATGAGAGGAAACTCTTTGAAAAGAAAATTCTTTAATTAAAGCCAGAAAAAAGCTACTGGTTCTATGAAGAGATTCTGATCTCATCAAGGATGAAGAAGGCTGAAGCCGCATCTGCACATCTGTCGATCTAAATGCGAGTTGAATAGATAAATTCCCAGTCAAAATACAGAAATAAGAATTTATGAATCCATTTTATTAGCCCACCATCATCAGATGGTGGGCTATTCAAATCACCCTGTGTCCGTGGTCCGTGTTCTGTTCGCCCTGAAACAGTTCATGTTAGCGTTATTTCTCAGAAGGTACTGGAAGGATCTTTCTCAAATTTCACATAAGGGTTCCTCATGATCCTTAGTTATGTATATCATTTTTTGGGACTGATCACTAAACCAAGATGGAAGACAGCCGGTCATTTTGAATTTGAGAGTTAAATATTGTTACCACTATTTCTCAGAAAGTACTGGAAGGATCTTTCTAAAATTTTACATAAATGTTCCCAATGGTCTTTAGTTACACATATCAAATTTCGGGACTGAAGGGAAAACCAAGATGGCAAACAGACAGCCATCTTGTTACAGTTAAAGTTTGATAACGCTATTTCTCAGAATGTACTGGAGGAATCTTGCTCAAATTTGATATGTAGGTTCCCCTTGGTCCTTAGTTGTGCATGTTAACTTACTGATTTGATGAATAGTTTGACAAGTTAACTGATGAAACAGATCAGAGAAAAGGAGAATATATCAAACTGACATAGAACTAATGACAATGGTACGATGGTGGGCCCTAAGATCCCTCTGGGATCTCTTGTTTAAGTAAATGTGGAGTCGTCTGTAAACCTTTTTTAATTGTACCTTTAATAGCTTATATTTGATATATTTTAAAGCCCCAAATCTGTCACTAGTGTTAGATTTTAACTAGCCCGGTAGCACTTTTTCAGTTTTTAGCTCAACTGGTCCAAAGGACCATGGTGAGGATATGTGACGTACTGCAGTGTCCATCGTCCATCCTTCAACTTTTTTTAAAAAGCGCTACTAGTCCTGAACAGTTTTATGGATTTTGACTAAATTTGGCCTGGAGCATCCTTGTATAAACAGAGGGTATGGGTGCAGAGGGGCGGGACCTAATAGAGGAAATTTGAGGTTCAAATTTTCAAAATCCTTCTCCTATACCATTGGAGGTCTTTTATCCAAATTTGGCCTGGAGCATTCTTTGTCAAAGGGGAATAAATTTGTATATATGCGGAGGGTGTGGCCCCTTTTGGGCAGAGGGGTGGGACGAATAGGATAATGTTTTAAATTCATGGGGGTAGAAAGAAGGGACCTAATGGGGGTCGGTGACGGGTGTTGCTAAGAGACAAAGTTAATACTTGGAAAAGTTGCAGTATTATACTGTTATCCCTATCAAAACAAGTTTTCCTACAGGGAAATAAAAAATGTTGGCTGTCAGAGAAACATACAGGAAGACTAGGGCAAGGTGGGGCATGTTTTGCTCTCTAAATCTCCTGACAGAAAAAGTTTAATAATTCTTCAGATATGGAAATGTTTGTCCTTTTGTAATTATTTCATGAAAGGCATGACATTTCTCCTTGGTATATAGACATATAAATTTCAACAACTGCCATACAATGATACTGTCCAGAACAACTTTAATAAAAATGGTCTGAACTTGTCCCAATCTCCCCTACTCCTACAGTATGAAACAAATTTGAACAAAAGTTTGTGAACATCTTGTCTGTAATATAAACCTGTGAAGCCATATTGTTTCGGCCGCGTCCTTAAGAGTGATGACCTTTAACCTAATTATCTTACATTTAAATGGATATTTTTTGTATTTATTTACTACCAAAATAGGCATCTTCCCTCTTTGCAAAAAGTGTCTTATTTTCTGAAAATGAAGAAAACATCTGGTAGGTACAGATTATTTAAAAGGTCAAGTTAAAAAAACATTAATCATATCAAATTAGTGTTATTTAATATCTTGCAGTCTTAAATGACATAAATATTTCCTACATGAACATACTGAATATATTCTTCCAACACCAAAGTTATATAGAGAGATAAGCCTATTATGGACAACGGCTATAACAGTAGATGAGTGGGAGGCACTGGGGTTATCAGTTAACCTCTGGATAACAGTTCTGGCTTTACTTTAAAAGAACCAGACTGCTAGAAGGAAAAATGAAATACTTCCTAAAACTGTAAATGTATTGTATAGTCAGTATCTCTAGTATACACAGGTGAACAGTTCCTGGTGAACTAACCTACGTTTATTGATGTGCGGTACCAGCTATACTACCTTTATACATAACTTCACACAATGAAAGAGTTAACCTGTTTATTACTTCAGTTAAGACAGATATGAATGTGCAAGCAAAGAACAAGTACTAAAACCTACTGTAAACATTTGGCGTATCAGGGGCTACTCACTCTATAACCTACTAATAGTAACAAATTATTCTCAAAATATTTTAACGAAAGCTAGACTCTGCGAAGTCACAGAGAAGCTTGATAAAGATTTAACGGAAGCTAGACTCTGCGAAGTCACAGAGAAGCTTGATAAAGAGCGCGAGCTAGACTCCAAAGAAAACAAGAGAAGCAGCTAGACTCTGAAAGTACCAGAGAAGCGACTAGACTCCTAATATCCATGGAGAAGCTATAAAAGACTATGAATTGGAAACGCTAGACTCCGAAGAAGGCAAGAGAAGTCACTAGACTCTGGAGGCATCCAGAGAAGCGACTAGACTCATAGCCACCCCAGAGAATGTATCTGTTAAATTTACCACGAGAAAACTGGCTACAGATAAAGTGAAGTAATACTCTATTTAAGAGATTGGGGGTAAAATTCCCCAAGAATTTAAAGCCAAAATGGAACGATTATGTTAGTGCGACATAAGAGTGAGAGCCCCCAATATACACAGGTATCTCCAGTATACGCAGGTATCTTTAGTATACACAGGTATCTCCAGTATACGCAGGTATCTTTAGTATACACAGGTATCTCCAGTATACGCAGGTATCTTTAGTATACACAGGTATCTCCAGTATACACAGGTATATCCAGTATACACAGGTATCTCTAGTATACACAGGTGAACAGTTCCTGGTGAACTAACCTACGTTTATTCATATGCGGTACCAGCTATACTACCACTATGTCTCCAATTGTTGGTCAAACATCACTATTAAGATTGATTAGATAATAGATACTGAAAATATAGATCTCCTAATGATAGCCTATGTAGTTGATAGTGACATGACCTGAAACCAGTGTCCAGTGTGGTCAGTTTTATGTTGTGGGAAAGCCGATAATAAAAATAGCTAATACCGAAATACAGCAATATCTGGGCTTTTCAGCAAGAAGTAAACATTGTACAGTACCACGCTGTCGACCGACAGTGAATCTGATTTCTCACATAACACATGCTTGTCGCTTTGAATTTACACAATACATCGCAAGCAAGAATCATAAGTATCATAATATATAAATCTAATGATATATTTTTATTCACAATTGTATTTTATAAAAAGAAACAGATTTAAATTCAGTATGCACGCAGGAGGGTACAGCAGGGAGGATTGTACATAATACGATATCAGCAGGTTAAACTTAAATTAAGTTACTCGTTCATAACGATGATTGAGATGTTGTTTGGACGATGCTATTAATTCAGAATAAATGCCAGTACTTGTTTCTGAAAAAGTTAGGTGAACAAAG